CATACTTCTAAACTGATCAGTCTAAGAGGCTGAATCTGGTGGATTGTGTGAGCTCAGGAGTTCAAGATCAGCCTAAGTAAGAGTGAGACCCCTGGGCAGTGCCAGTGGCTCAAAGGAGTAGGGAGCCGGCCCCATATGCCGGAGGTGGTGGGTTCAAACCCAGCCTTGGCCAAAAACTGCAAAAAAGAAAAAAGAGTGAGACCCTGTCTCTAAAAACAGCCAGGTGTTGGGATGGGCCCAGAGTCCCAGCTACTTGGGAGGCTGCGGAAGAGGATTGCTCAAGCCCAAGAAACTGAGGATGCTGAGAGCTGTGATGCCACAGCAAATATGAAGAGTGACAAAGTGAGACGCTCTCTCAAACATAAAATAAAATAGGCCGTGCCTATGGCTCCCTGAGTAGGGTGCCAGCCACATACACCCAGGGTGACAGGTTATAAAAACCGGTATAGAAGTGCCCTTATGGAAGAACAAGAGAAAGAAACCCAGGATTCTCATTTATCATTTCCAATTAATCTGCACTTCCCTAATCATGTTATACTGTGTGGTTTCCTCCTTGAACTTTGGACCTCCGACCACTGTTATCTGTCACATTCGGTCCAACCTACCTGGGTGCTTAACTACTGTCTGGTATGCCTTCACCTTCCAGGGTTCTTTGCTTTGCTCCAGACAGGTGATGAGGTGGGGCTTAGACGGAGTAAGACCTGTTGTATTAGAAAAAAGGAACATGACTCTTGTTGGAATTCTTCAAGTGGTCACCTATTACCTTGCTAAAGTAGAGAAAAGAACACTTTAGAACATCCTGAAAGAATAATCGCCAAATACACATTCCTTACAGAAATTTTAGAATCTTCAAAAAGTATTTAAAGTTGGAGAATTTTTAACTCCACCACCCAGTAGTACTGAAATAAAATTTGGTGGTAGAAATCAGACTTAAAGGTGTGGTTAACAATCTATGCCACAAAATTTCTGAAATTACCATTCATCTAGTGAAGAATATAAATCAGCCACAAAAAGGGTAAGATTAATGCCACTATAAGTCGTCTTCGATATTTTCTTTTCTATACCATGATGTACTTAAATTTTCCTTAAAAACAAGAAACTGGGGTGGCGCCTATGGCTCAAGGAATTGGACACCAGCCCCATATACCAGGGTGGTGGTTCAAGCACAGCCCTAGCCAAAAATGTAAAGAAAAGAAAAGAAACCAAGAAACTGATCCTCATGCAGTCAAAGAAGAAACTGAATAAAAACCTTTTATAAAGAGAAAATATGAATTGCTTAGTGTAGACCAGGCACTGTATATTTCAGTTATCCTCACCTAGGAAGACCAGGTGTCTGTAGTTCTCCAACATGACATCCCGATACAAAGTCTGCTGAGCAGGGTCCAGGCAGGCCCACTCATCCACAGAGAACTCCACAGACACGTCCTTGAATGTCAACAGTTCCTGAAAAACAGACATATTTACCAAGAAGCCATGGGAGACTGAATTTCACTTTTAGTTAAATGAATGAAGAGAACTTACTCTGACTTATATGAAAGAATGGAATTACCTAAAAGGTAAGTATAGAAGACATATATTCCCTCATGTGTTGTCTAACAGGAGGAAAGGGGACGGCATTAATATCCACAAAACCGGTGTACACACTACACTTTTTTGGTTGACACAATAGAAATGAAAGGCCACCAGTACTGGCGTGTATACTTTTGTGCCTTAATTACCTGATACAGAATAAGTTGTGTATGTTTTATATGAAAATGTCATGGTGAGGCTTGTACCTGTAGCTCAGAGGCTAGGGTGCCGGTCACATACACCTGGGCTGGAGGGTTTGAACCTGGCCCAGATCTGCCAAACAATGACAACTAGAAGAAAAACAGCCGGGACTTGACCGTAGCACAGTGGTTACAGCGCCAGCCACATACACCGAGGCTGGTGGGTTCGAACCAGGCCCAGGCCAGCTAAACAACAAGACAACTGCAACAATAAATAGTTCGGC